CTTGAATCGTGTATCTGTCATGGCACGAAAACAGTTACGAGTTGCGATAACCATGGGAGTTAGTAGACGATTACTCTCTCTCTCTTTCTCTCTCTCTCTCTCTCTCTCTCTCTTGAATCGTGTATCTGTCATGGCACTTGTGACATGCGTTAACTGTGTTTACGAACCTGATTTAGATAGCATAACACGTGCGACTTATCGCACAGATTACGTCTTTATCCTGGACCCTGTTCATTTTCAAATTTACATAAATCCCATAGCTAGTCAAAGTGCATGCTTATCCAAATCCATTGCCACTGACATACGTATATACGTATACATAAATCTCGAAGATGATCGATAACGCGCACGTATGTCATGTAATCCACATGTGCGAATAGGTTATATACACATATGTATAGATGGAGATAATACAAGAGGGATAGGACCAATCGATTTCCACCTGTTATAAAAGTTTTCAAAAACACGGAAAGAACGCGTTTCGTTTCATCCGCGTAGAATTCAGGATCAGTTTGCGAATGAATTATTCAGAAACAGGTCGCGAGATCAGCCAAATTAGAGTCAAGCGAGATCCCGCATATCGTTTTCCTTCATTTTCCTTTTTTTTTACAATTCACAACCGACACCCATTGTCATCGGAGTTGAAATAGATTTGATACCAATAATATAAATGGACCGACGAGGGATGCTGCCGCATCACTTTCCAGATTTGAAATCTGTTTCGCGATTCATAACGTTAACAAACTGCGACACGGATGCAGCGTTCGGAAATAAGTAGCATAAGTGATGCGACTGCAAAGAATATAAATAAACTTGAAACAAGATAACCCAAAAGAAAATATATATTCACTGCAAGAATTTTCTATAGCGGTTAACGTTACTCAGAGATGAACCTGCCTGCAGCCAGTATGGTCCACGACAATCCCCCTGTGCACTGTTTAAACTTTGCTCAGGCTCCCCCATGCTTTTATTTGCCCCCATAATATCATGATATTAAGTGTCTACTCTTCTCTCAGCTATACACTTTCACTCCATCTCCCTCTCGCTCTCTCCCGTACAAACACATTTAGTCACTCGTTCACTTTTTCTCCATCTCATGCTATCTTTCGCCACGTGAGTAAATAGTATAAAAGATACTCCAATAATTTAGTGCACTTGCCGACTCGGGATGACGCTGTTTGGACAGCATTACACTTTTTATCGTCAATGTCGGAGGGTCGAAGAGGAGAAAGGGGTTGCTTTTTTTTAACGCCTGCATTTTTCTTATGGGAAATTTTACTAGCATCCAACATAACGCCGGTGTATATCTCGTGCGAGTATGTGTTTTATGCAGTGAATATATAGACATAGGTATAAGGAGCATACACTGCATACACGTAATTTTCTACGTGGAAATTGAGCTGCAGGCGTTAAATGTTATACATATAATGGAAGGAAGCTAACATCTCGAGGAAGCTGCAGTATGCGCATAGATGCATCGGATGACGTATGCATTATATCACGAAAAGCAGCAGCGTTCAAGATTCTCTTCGAGGAATATGGAAACTGCAGCAATGTTGT